AAAAGTATATCAAGTCCCACCTTTTACTGGGATATTGTGTGTGGTTCCTTACTTCTGTGTTCTCCTTTTTATTTTATTGTTTGAAAGTATTTTGTGTTTTCCTCCAATTTATACTTTAAAATATTTTTATTATTTTCATTTTCCCCACAAGAACATTTTCTGCTTTTTTGGAGAACATTTTATTATTTTCTTTTATGACTCTTCAGACTTTTATTTCCTGTTCCTGGCTATGTATAATTCATAGCAATCAGATTTAACATAGTATTCAAAGAGAGATGAATCCTGATGGCCTTCCATGAAGTAACTTATTTATTTTGAAGTGATTCCTATACACTCTTCAAGTGAGTCTTTGTTTTAATGTGTGTTGTCTTCAGCAACCTGAAGGCACAATCTGAAGAAACAAGAGTCTCCTTCACACAGATGTATGTTTAGTAAGTTTCATAACCTTTAAATGTCCATCAGTCTCACTCATTCTCTTTCTTTGGGACATGGACACTATTGAAGGTTTCACTGTTCAATGGTCATGTTAAGCTCAAGGCACAGAGCACTCGAACCAGTCCAGGAGAAGCAGGATTGGACCCAAAAGGACTAGATGAAGAGCATGTTAATCTAGTATTTGTGACACAAGCAAAAAGGATCCCAACTTTTGCCCTTTGTTTAACTTTCTCACTGAAACAGCTCTGGTGGAAGTTAGGGCAGAATGCATTTCTTGCCTACTGTCAGCATTCTCTCTGAATATTTAATGTTTCCCATCCTTGGGATAGGAGCTCAGATATGAGCAGCAGTGATGAACAGACAGAATACCTCTTTATGCTGCACGCCTTGAAATGTGATGACTATTTGGCCTACTATCTCTATTATTTTGCATAAGGAGCTAATAATTTATATTTTGAGAGTTGTATAGGTGAATGGTGACAATAAAAAGCTATAAAAATTCTACTATATCCCGTGTAAATTATGTATTGCTAGTGAAATAGCTGGATAAATCCAAGAGAAATGTGGATTTCCCAGATCAGCCCTGCTGTATTTATTACATATTTCATTGTCTGTAAAATAGATACTCCTTAGAATAAGCAGGTTTGTTTTGGGGTTCGTTTGTTTGTTTGCTTGTTTTCTTTCATTCACAACAATGTTAATGCTATGAAGTAAGAGGAGAAGGCTGACAACAAACTTAAGAGGCAAAATGAAGGAGTAAAGGCATCTACAGGGAATTTTGTTATTTTGGGAATCCACATAATGTAATGGTACAGAAGAATTTGGTTAAGTAGGCTGAGTTCATCTGTTCCTGCTTCAATCTTATCTGTCAGTGTGGAATTTTTTCTGCCAAAGGTCCCCAATAAATATTAAACTGCTATTCTGATGAAAAATACCAATAATCTTCTTTTTTACTTTCACACACAGAGATACAGTTTGGCCAGAACTAGTGTTAGCTAATACAAGTCTAAATTAGTGCCAAAAAAGCTATTCTATATTACACCAAATGAGAACCTGGCTCGAAACTCTTACTTGTCTTTTTTCTTTTTTTTTAATATGCCCCTACATTTCCATGAATGACTAATTTTTCCATAATTTTTTTCTTGTGTGAGCCTCTTGCTAATCCTTCATATTCTCACCGTGGGTTGATGATTTAGTCTGCATCAGTCAATAGTTGTGTATGTCTTCTGGTCTCCAAGATACGATGGAGACTTGATGGTGAAGACCACTGCCAAATCCTAACAAGCTGCTCAAGTATGACAGGCCCCTTTCCACGTTTTCTTCTTTTCTTTTTTCCATTGTGTAGTTCTAAGTCACTGATCTCATTACCCCTGCTAAATTGTTGTCGATCACTCAAATTTTCACTATGTCTCTCTTGCTCACAATTTCACCTTTTCTTTCACCATCAGTTGATCTCTACACTTCTCATTCTCTCCCCAAGCCTCTGCTTAGTCTATTTTTTCTCTCCCAAGCTTCCTTTTAGTCACCAATGAGTTATCTGTCCATTCATTTCAGCCCTTGTTGCCCTGTTCCAGATTACTTCTACTTGCCCCATTCTAGGTTTTGCATTTAAAGAAAGGGTTGATAAAAAATGCGTTTGGAAAATGAGATCCATTGAGCAATATCAAGCAGGGATTGCACTTGTTGGAGCTTATAACTGAAGCCTTTGAGGCAAAATGGAGTTTAAAAGATATTAGATAGCAAGATGCTTATCTTTCTAAGAATGTTGAACTAATCAAACCAAATTTCATACATAAATGAACAAGCAGCCTGTTGTGCACATGTGGGAGGACTGCAGCCTTTCCCAGAGACCACCCTTAACATCCTTTTATTTTGAGACAATTCTGAAATGGGAGCCATCAATGTACATCTCTAGCTTTAGTACATATTTCTTAGTTCTCACTACTTGGCATAGTCAAAGATTGTAAGAACACTTCATTGTTAAATAATATATGCGTGGGTTTTAATTTCAAATTCCTTTGTGTCTCTCTCTGTGTGTTTTTGCATTCTATTTTTCTTTCCTTCCTTCTCCTTTAGGCTGTAAGAGAAAAATTAGAGCCAGATGATGCTTTGATGTATGAAGAAGATCTAGATGACGACGACTGTGGAGAAGCAGAATTTGAGGAGACCATGAAATTAAAACTGCTGCGTAGAATTGCCTTCCTAGCATCCAAACTGAGGGAGTTTATTGGCAATATGATTATCACCACTGGAAAAGTTGTTGTTACAATTTTACTTGGTTCAGCAGGTTGGTGTATTTGAAAAATTTCCTCAGGAGCCCGTTAGATTATGCGTTTAACAAATGAGTTTTCAGCACTTTGGCACCTGCGGGAGTAACAATGGAAATTTTTAAGGGAAAAGAAATTGCTGCTGATTTTATTAAATTAACTCTTTGGCAGGTATTGGAATATGCTGAGTTGCTTAATGTTTTTGTACTGATACTGTGTGGCCCTGTCATTCTGTTTATGATTTTCGCAGTAGTTCTTATAACCAAACGTTGAATGAGAGGCATATTAGAAATTACTGTATATATTGTGTGTGTGTGTAAGTATATACACATATGTATTTATATTAAAGTGAATTCTTAGATTTGGGTTCATCACTTCTAAGTTTAAAAAGGAGCTGTATTCACATAGCCTTTTAAAAAATGTTGTTTGACCATGTAGTATGTAAAAAGAGTGATAAGCAGGCTTCCTATTTTTTTTAATTCAGTTGGAAAGAGTAGCTGTTTTGATGTTATATAGCCTACCTTTTTATAAGACATTCGATTTAATACCACATAATCAGCTACAGCCAGAACAGAAGTGTACAAAATGACTGTAGGTTGTAACTACTGAATTCAAAATTTAATCAAGGAATTGTAGATTAACATTTATCTGCCAGCTCACATGTTTGAATGGAGTGATACATATAAACATTACAATATAACATATAAGTTATCAGTATATGAAGTACAAAACAACAGTACCAAAACAGTTTGATACTGAATGATGAGAATTGGATGTGTGGCTGTTATAGTAAGGCGGGTTCTTTCATTAAGGCAAGATTGCTAAACAACCTTACATGTAGCCAAATGGAAAGTAATAAATCAAAAAGAGAAAAAATACGTGGGCCACTGTAGGGCCTGACACCAGGGAAGAGAGATGTCATTTAAAAAAAACCCAAATAAATAAAACCAAAAAGCCTGATGCCACTTTACATAGGTGAACATCATCATGTTCAAGGGGAAGCAGAAGGATTGTGCAGCAGTGGCAGGGCAGTTTCTTCTGAATGGTGATGGGCAGCTTGCCTGTGGAGCTCCAACACAAGCCAAGAAGTGGGAGGTGTTTAGAGCAGAGTTACAAAAAGTACTTGAGGTCTGAGAAGCCTGTACTCCAGAGAGAGACCTTGAGCTTCGTAAGTTAAATACTTACTTACCATGCCAAAAAGATGAAGGGTGACTTGACTGCAAACTGAAAGAAATGACAAAGTGTTTCCATTTTTAAGGTATCTCATCTAGTAGAGTTGATAATAGAAGCCAACAGTTAAGTGGTAAACCTAGGCAATTTCAGACCAGAAATAAATTTTGTATTTTTCACAGCCAGAGTAACTAGCCATAATAAATAACTTATTTTAGGATATCATGGATTCTCATTCTCCAAAAATGTTTGAATACAGACAAAATGTCTTGTTGTAAGAAGAAAGGAAATAGTTACGAGCTTGAAGCAGAAATTTCTGGGTGAAGTTTTACAGCACCATAGGGTGGAAGCTTAAAATATGATGGTGAAGCTCAGGCAAAAAACTGTGGATATGAATCCTTAGAGTGCCTGGACTTAACTCAGCAAGGAACCAACCCTGGGAGCATTGCTCCCAAAAGATACGTCAAGCCACCTGGTGAGGGACAGGGCTGGCAGGCACACTGGAGCTATGAGCCACCAGGAGCCTGCAGGTCTGTCCTGAGCAAGGTGGCTCCTAGACATACAATAGTTAAAAAGCTTAAAAATAAATTTAGGCATTGACCCTTGCTAGCTCTGGCACTGTTGCTTCAGAGAATCCACGGGGCTGCTGTGCTGGCTCCAAGCTCTTATGTCATTTTCTCATAGTTGCCACTCTTAGACATGAATGTCTTTCCTGCTTCCTAACTTATTTTTGCAGACTACCAGCAGAGCATTGAGTCCCCTTCACTACTTGGACGTTTTCTCAAGTGGCATACTCGGCTACATGTGCAAAAGCAATTATACATGTGTGTGTCAGCAGAGTCTTCATCATATGTAAATTATACATTTCTAGGAGTTGTCAATTAAAAAAAATCAAACATTTACTGGTTATTTTGTAGATTTTATGTAAATCTCTTCGTTTTGGTATATGGATTAGGGTGTGTTTTGTTTCAGTATGTCAAGGTATTTCAGTATCTGTATGAGAAGGCTTTTGTGGTCTCAGACAGTATTAGCTGCCCTTGCAGCCACTTTTTGTTTTTCTCCATGCTTTACGAAACATCTTTACATAGAGGAAATTCCATCTCATAGGAAAGTCTGGAGAATGATTGTGTTCTAAATGCTGAGATATGGCATAAATTAATTGAACAAATAAAATTTAAAAAAAAAATCCTCTTCTAGTCTCAAAGTTAATAGCAGTCTTTAGAGATAATTGTAATAATTAGCAGAAAACTAATTGGAACAAAATTTTTAATTCACATCTTGTCAAATTTAAGGTTTAACAAATGCTGATATTTCCCATACTTCTCCAACACTTCATGCTTTTATTTTTACAGGTATGATGGTGCCATCTTTGACCTCAGCTGTGTATTTCTTTGTGTTTTTGGGCCTGTGCACATGGTGGTCCTGTTGCCAAGCATTTGATCCGCTGATATTCAGCTGTCTGTGTGTATTAATGGCTATATTCAGTGCAGGACACTTGATTGGACTTTATCTGTACCAGCTACAGTTCTTTCAGGAAGTTGTTCCACCAAAGGATTTCTATGCCAGGTGAGAGAAATTCCTTTCCTGTTTAATTGTGGGCATGTGATGCAGTGTTCAGTTATCACACGTTGATGCAAATGATCTTTCACATAATGCTTTAACAAATTTTACACATACCTTCTTGTTCAGTCGTGGAAGAGTCAAATCATTTCAGATGGAATGGTTTTGAATGTTAGAGTGGTGAGAGTCCAGACTGGGTAATTGCAGACAGAGAGCTGGAGCAGGTTGGGAGGAGAAGGTGACTTTTGGTTTTGCTCAGTGTTCCTCAGATGTGATGTGAATGATTTTGCTAATGCAAGAAATAAAGGAAATTGATGGCAACATTGATATAAGGGCAGGTGTACAGATGCACACTCGTTTTTTTGTAGAAGAAAACAAATCCTCTGGTGTCTAATGTCATAGTGTCTTAACTGGAGCAAAATGCTTTTGTGGTGCCATTCTTGTGTGCAGAGGCTGAGAGTTCTTCATGTACTGTGCCTATTTGGCTGTTGATATAAAAATTCTCTCAGATCACATAGAATCACATAGAACATGCTGATCTTCATACCAGCAACTACCTCACTTAAGTAAAAAAATATTTTTAGTTACTTCTGCAGTAAATATTGACTGGATGTCAGTTTTATTGATTTCACTGACCCTTTAATTTTCTACACACTGTAATCTAAAATAAGATGAAGTAATGGATGCATTTCGTTTGTTACTATTTCTTTCTGCTGGATTTTGATGGCAAATTGTTTTTTATGGTACGGATTTTCAATGTAGTAATCCTTACATTAAACTAAATGTGATCATTAATTATTTCTAGTAAACCTATGGTTCCTTTTAATTATTATAAGCTGAAAGGAAATTAGAGGTACTGTGGAGAATCAATTAATTATTTCTCTTTCAATGCAATATTAAAAGCAGTAAAATTGAGCTGTCTAGCTCCAGTAGTTGTTACTTTAGTACTTACTTTGACGTTTTATTTAATACAGGTTAATAGATGTGTGTTTTGTGATGTTGGAATTGGTGACTTGTCGAGTCTGATTAGGAGGGCATAACATTGCCTGAAAAATCAGAAAAACCTGCTTAGTTTAGGTTCTTTTGTGCCACCTAGAGGTCGAGGTAGGAGAATGGACGATTTCTAATGCCAAGAAGCTGAAATGCTCTCGACTTCCCTAAACTTTTATATTACTTCCTCCGTGTATCAAGAAAACAGAAAGAAAATGGCTTCAAAATTCTCAACCATTTGGCTTTGAGGATATCTCCTCACAGATTTTAGCAATAGACAGCAAAACATGTTCTCAAGGAAAAGAAATACGTGCTTCATACAATTTTAGCTACAATATGTGAAACTTTCTTTATATGCATAATTGGTGAACTCCCTTTTTTCTTTTTAGTATTTTTTCTATTAATTTTAAATTAATTTATTTTTGTTTCAATTAATTTAGTCTCAAGATAATTGTCTGCATTTAGCAATTTCTTTTATTGTAAATAACATGATTCTTTGTTTTATGACAAAGTTTTGTTCAGTATGAATATGACACTTTAACTTTGTAATTAATTTTTGAAATTAAAAAAATCAAGCTGCCTGAAAGTTGCCTCTGCCTTGGTGCAGAAAAGAAAAGCACCTTCAGAGTTTGGGCAGAGTTTGGGTTAAAAAAAAGTCCCAGTGTTGGACTTCAGAGTAATTACTGACATTTTGATAACCAAAAATGATGTTACCTTCCTGCAGACTTTCTCTTGAACTGGTACTGCTGAGTACTCTGCCTTTTACACGTGAGATCATGTGAGGGACTGATGTTCTAAATTACGTGGGAAATTATGTTTGAATATGCACAATAATGTATGTACAATGTACACACAATGGCAGCAGAGGAAGCAGTGTTCCTTGTTTGTTTATCTGCAGTTCTTTCTCTTGTGGATCTACTTTGATCTGCTTTCAGGGAGTTGTCTTTGAAGAGCATCAGGACAGTTGTTGTCAGAGATTGGAAGTGAAAATCTTGGTGTGAGAAAAGACCACTGATGATTTTTAATAATCGAGTCTTGCTGATATAAGCAGTGACTAGAGGAGGAAAAATGAGAGACATATATTGGAATGCTGCAGAAAAAATATTTTAGCATTTTTCATCCTAGAAGAAAATCAATGTCTCGCTATTTTATATACAGTCTTGGTTTGAAGATGTGCTAAATAGGCAGAGTTCCCATTGATACTAGTACATGGCTTTCATGGGCAAATTATATGCCAAGAAAAGAATTTGATTCCCCAAATTCTTGCTACAAGAAGGCCATTGAAGTGCTGGAGCATGCCCAGAGAAGGGCAACAAAGCTGGTGAAAGGTCTGGAGCTGAAGTCTTATGAGGAATATCTGAGGGAACTAGAATTGCTCTGGAGAAAAAGCAGGGAGAAGCCTGGAGAAGAGAAGGCTCAGAGGTGACCTTGTTGCTCTCTAAAAGCAGGTTGCAGCAAGGTGGGGGTTGCTTTCTTCTCCTGAGTAATAAGCATCAGGACAAGAGGAAGTGGCCTCAAGTGGCACCAGGGCAGGTTTAGACTGGACATTAGGAAAACTTTCTGCACCAGAACAATGGTCTGCAATTGGAATAGTCTGCTCAGGAAGGGGGTTGAGTCGCCATCCCTGGAGATACTTAGAAGATCTTAGGGACATAGTTTAGTGGTTTAGATGGATTTGGCAATGTTGGTTTAATGGTTGGACTCAATGATCTTAGAGGTCTTTTCCAACCTAAATTGTTCTGCGATTCCGTATGAAAAAAGGACTTTTATTTCTCTGTAAAATTTTGAGGGCCCAATCCCCACAAATAAAAGTCCTGAATATCAAGGGCAGATGTGAAAACTGCTCCTGTTGGGCAGCTGGTGGACATTTTTTCTCTCGGCAGAATGTAAGTCTGGTGTTTTAAAAAGCTCCTTTCTGGGTCTGAGTTCTCAAGTTTACAAGAAATGGACAAGTGGTTTCTCTGATCAATAAAAAAATGTGTTTTCTCTGAATAGTAATGCATTCAGCTTGTCAGAATATTGATTGGCTTCAGACTAAATAAAGTTAAACTACACCCAAACAAACCAGAAAATTCTCAAGTTAACAGTATTATTCAGCTAAGACTTGCATCATCCTTGAGCTGTTCCTTCCTCTTAAGAATTCTTCAACTCCAGATTCACCATTTGTGATTGTAAGAAGTGACTGAACAATGCCACCAGAGGAAAGCAGTTGTCTTGGGAGGGATAACCTGACACCTCTGAATTTACATGTTTTTCCCTGAAACCTTATGGGATTGTGCAAAGTACTTCCCCCCCAAAAAAATAGGATATTGTGATAGCATGGCCTTAAGTACTTGCCAGAGTGATATTTTGAACATGGAGGTGTTTATGTCCTATGAAGTTTCACATCTGCTGCTGTGGTTGTCTGGATCTGTGATGTGCAGGTAGAAGTGACATAAACACAAACACACTGAAATGCCATGGAGTGAGCACTGGGATCTGCAGATTGAAAAATGTACAGGGTACTGAAAAGTCTGAATGTAGCTGGTATGCCAGGGGTAGGCATGCTGCCAACAAATCAATATTGCAAATTGATGCAATTTTGCAAATATTGCAAAGATGGGGGGAAAAAATAACAAGAAATATCCATTTAAAGCAAAATTCAGAAAGTATCATGTTTCTACCATAAAATTATTTTCACCCAGGTTAGTAAAAACAAGTCAATGAGCTAAAATGACTTTAGAAAATAGGTACACAGTGTCACAGCCTGAAAAAATACGCAGTAATATGTTTGCCATTTTTCGGATTGCTGCCTCCTTTCTTCCTGATATTGTTTATTTTGGCAAAAAAATGTAATTGGGGAAATGATAAGGCCTTGCCAACGTGTAGAAATAGGATCAGTGCAGTGGTATGAGGTTTGTCCTGAGTCAGTAGAGTTATTCCTGTCCAAAACTGTGCTTATAAGCATATTAATATAAAGATCCAGCAATCCAATGTAAATTAAAAGCTATGTGTTTTCCTATAGTTTAGGTCTGTCTTGCTTGTAGTTTCCAGGCAATTAATGTTCAAAATAGTTTAAGTATGACTGGTTTCATCTATGGAAGGCATCTCCCTTACAAAATGAGGCAAGCCTAGGAGTCCACGTAGTGTCATCTATTTCAGAGTGGTACCTTATTTCACACCTTCTTAAGTGAATGGGAATTTGGAATTACACATCTGATTGCTTTGCTGCAGTATGAGTTGGGAAATCTAAGAAGTTTTGTACCAGAGGCAATTTTCATCTGAAAGATGTCTATAAATCTATTTAAGCCTGACTTTTAAAATAGGTGTTACAGTAATAATAATAAGCCTGCTTAAATTACTTTTACTTTTGGAGAAAAGATATTTGCTACAGATGGTAGATTTAAGATATTCAGTTTATATTCAGATTAATCTGAGAGGAGGCCAGTCCAGAATCCTTCATTTGGACTGCCCTGGAAGCTTTGATACAGATTCAAATTTCGTAGCCCAAACACTCTGTTCAACCAGGGTTATAAATGCTTAAGAACTGTCTCAAAAATGTTCCTGGAGTTGTCAGATCAGGGTTGGACATCCAGCTGTACAGTTTTTTTTCTAAGTTAGACGCTAAACTTGTGAATAAAATCCCATTAGGAGAGCAGATACTGCCAAAATAGCGAGATGTAGCTGATTGATTACCTCGTCAGGGCAAGACACTGATCTCCTGCTCTGCTGCTGATTTTGTATCTCCACTGGAGCCAAGAACTGGACAACATGTTTCATCTGAGCTGCAGCCACTGCTAATCCTTGCTGCAGACCATCTTTGGCACCTGTCTCAAAGGTGACTCACCTCTGAGAGGCAGAATTTTCTTAACCTTGTAGGAAACTCTGAGGTTTTTGGGGTTGCCTTTTGACTTGGTCACAAGCCAGTGTTTGAAAATATGAAGTATTTAAAGCTCCTTTATGTATCCTATACTGAGCTGCCCTTTGGCTGCAGTAGCTTTCATGCCTTCTGCTTGGTATTTTTAGGCACTTCTCAC